GATGACTAACTGAAACATGTCACAAACACTGTACAGCGGTTCTTGACCGTTGTGCATGTCTGCGCCCCTCGGAACAATTAAGTAGCCCGTAATATCCTCAGTTGCTGTGATGGCTATTCACTCCAAGCAAGATTATTGCTAAAGATCTATTCTGCTTTCATATATCAGAATACAAGTTTCGACTGTGTCCAGATTCACCTCGAGTGGATGAAACATCTGTTGTGATTCCAGGTTACAGCAAGTTTTGCTGAACAACGAAAATCAGTGATACTGTTTACTTCTCAATTTTTATTGCCCGCGTGCATATGGTGCTAGATTCCAAGCGAATTTCGCAGGTTCTCATGTCAAAGGACTGTGAAGCTTCCTTGAGTCAACCCTATTGCTCTTCAATTCAGCGAGACTCCTCGTTATTGGATAACTGCAGTAAACCCCTAAATCTCCCTTAGCATAGAGTGCGTTCTATTTAATATGAAAAGGGCTCTGAGCAGCACTTATGTACAAAGAACACCTACTTTATCCTGTTTGTCAAGGAGACATTTCTATTATATTTTGGTTGGTTGTATTGCGTATCGTGTATATTGCCGACGAGTCCATCCAATTCCACTTGTCGAACTGGGTGGACTGATTGCACACAAGACCATTAGACATTTCCTCAGCTTCCTACTACTGTAGATTCACACCACTCTCGTTTGAACGGTTATCCGCCTGTTCTGGTGAGTCCACACCAAAGAAAAGCACTGAACTCGCGTCTTGCTCTTAGTAGAGCTCATCAGCGGTGCCAGGATTTGAACTCCGGACATCTGACATGCAATGCGAGCGTGTTACCACCACTCCACCAACCCACGTTGGACGCATCTGAATTTTCACGTCTGAACAGGCGAACGTGTTTACGCTTGAGCAATGTGATTAGTGTGCCCAACTGTAGATTCCTTCGTATTTTCCACACATTTCTATGCGGCTACGATGATTACGCCAAGATGGTCTGTCCGCACAGTGGAAACTCTCCGGCAATCAGTTATTTCGACAAATAAGAGTTTGGTAGCTTTTGAACAAAGCTGGAATGATCCACATTATCTCCATTTTTCAACGATGTAAAAACGTCAAATTCAGGGTGGTTAATGGAGGCTCTTGTTGTTATAAAAACCTGAACTACGCTGTGACCCTGGGTCCGGAAATCAGTTTGTTTGAAAACCATCTTACAAAACGTAGGCCCGGCTTTTATTTGAAGTAGGAATAAAATATTGTTTTACATTTTACTTGTGCTGACAAACGTAACCAGCTAAGCATGGCCCCCTCAATTAGAGAAAATATTGTCAAATTGCTGCGGGATACTCGATAGGATTCTTTTGAGAGTCAATTTGATCAGTGAAATCTTTCAAACAGATTTAGGAAAGGATCAAACTTTCGGTAAGATGTACGCAATGACTGCGCGGTATGGTGATTTTAAACAGTAGGATTAGTCGAATTGCTTCAGAGACTGCCTACTGTCTTTCACGGTGGCGACTTTTCTTCATGCCTAAATCCAGCACTCTCCTTATAGGTATAAAGCAAAGTGCAAGAGGTATAAAATGCTCCTCAGAATATTTTTTGTACCACCAACCACCCAAGATGAAGCCATTTACTCATTTGAACAGTATAAAGTTGTGAGGGGGGCTAACCGAATCTCTCGTTTACGACATTGTTCAACCGACTTTGTTGCTCAGAAGTCGCCTGGTATTTCATTTAGAATGATATTCCAGAAATCAAAATCTCGATATGATATTACCGATGCAGATTTTTCTCATGCATCTCAGTGCTTGTTTCGCTCAGCTCGTTACTGGGATGCGACCCGATGAGTCCTTCTGCATCACTTTGGATTGATTCTCAGCGTCCAAACAAACAAGCTCCGCAGTAGGCAGAGTTCCCGGAGCTGGCAAACTTCCACGGTAGCTGAAACTACCCCGTTTGGCTCATACGTCGAAATCTATGTTGAAATCATCTATTTTTGGTTCAATCAAACTCGACATTTGTTCAATTCATGTACTGCACACACGACAGTCTTTCTCAATAAAATTCAAGCCACCGGACGCTCCTAACTCTTTAAGTGAGCTGCTGATCAACTTGATTTTTGCTCGCTGTGAGAAAAACCCAGCTTAGTGCAGAAACCATTCGCCAGAAAAATACACACTTACAGTTCGTGGTGAAATTCTAATAGATTTGATTTGCACTGCATGGAGTGGAGTAACTACCGGGTCGTTCATGCTGTTCAGCTGATTTTCTCTCAGCTGGTCATTGTAGACAACTTGCACTTTTGAGCCATATTCCATAAAGCACACAAATATTGTTCCAGAATGACTTGCTTAACAATTGGTGAGTTCATAGCTGGACGATGTCTCACTTTCGACACAAAGTCTTCGTCAGGATAACTGAGTAGGTTACAACATTGATCGAGTGTTCATTACTTCAGTCAGTGAACCCAGTTTGAATTGCTAGGCTCTCTGTTGCGGTACAACCTGACTGTACTTTTCCTTTTGAAAACCAAATCTTATTTGTACGCCAATGCACTGCAGAGCCAAGCACATTCGCATGTACTGTTGGTCATAGGAGTGACGGTGCTGTATCCTTAGTACTACTCTTTGAGTCCCTACTAATATAAGTCTGCGTACCGAATACGCCGACCGTATATCTGTCAGATGCGTCAGATGCACTCGCCAATTTTAGTAAATAAGTCCTGATGAAAGGAAACCTAAGTGTACGGGATTCCTGTAAGACAAGGCCAATTATGTTTCAATGAAGCAGCGGAGCTAACCGAATCATCTGAATATCTGGACCCAACTTAATGCACAATAAACATAACTAGTACGCTAGAAAACACTAGTGCATTTCCCTGATTTTTCACGGTGAAGTGACCTTCATGGTTCAGAATACGCTGTGCGGCACAAGAAAGCGTACGGTGATATGAGGTGGAACAGCCGATTTAAGGACATGGTTGACCGGGTAGGGTACGATACATGTTTTAAATGTTCACATTGGTTTGAAAGGACTACAGCAGGCCTTCAGTGGGGGAGCTTACAACAGTGAAACAAAAAACCTTATTTCGAAATCACCACTGGGATGTGCAGAACACTAGCATACGCTTATCCATGGCAGATGGGTTTTGTAAACAGTGTACTTTCTCTTCAAGGCTCTATGTTGTCACAATATTTCAACGTGACTGTGACTTTCCACGGATATACTGTTGAAGTATACCGTCGGCTTTGGTGTTTGCGTGACCATGTTGTCACATTTTTTCAATGTGACTGACTTCCCACAGATATACTGTTTAAGTATACCGTCGGCTTTGGTGTTTGCGTGGTGGATTCCGATCCCATTTTGGAAAACCACATGCCAGTTTTCAACCACACCGACAGCTAACTGGAGCTGTATTTAATCCTGGAAAATGTCGAAAATTTGGGTTTAAATAAGCGAGGATGAAAAAGTTACGCGAACACACACAACATCCTTCCATTAATGTACGAAGGTGTGCATTCTTTGCCAGTGGGTACAGGTGATGTTTACAGAAACAGATGGAAAGAACGAGGACACAGTCCGAGTAGCATGGAACCTGATGCCTGGAAAGAATAATCTTTGGATCTTTCGAGAGGAACTAACAGAACAAACCCAACCAAACAAAGCCTGGCAGTTATCCAAGCGAACTCCATTTTAAGGACGGCTTTCATGCTACTGCCACAAAAAAGCAATAATACATCATACTGAAGGGTCTAAGATAAAAAGTAAATGATTGCTGACCTGTACTGCAGCCCACAGTAATGGGTGCACTCTCAGCTATAAACCACTAACATTATGTTTCGTCTCCAGCACACATCCATAAGTGAATCCCTCCAAGAAGTGCACAGTTGGCTCCTAACCACTTTTCATATTTCACCGCAAAAGAACCTTTGCACAGACAGTTGCAGTAGAGCAAACATATCAGTTGTGCTACATTTGCTGCTTGGGAGATTCTAAAGTTAGCCTCTTGCTTGAGGACCATTGACTGTCGGACTGCTTGCATAATCAGCGTCTTGTCCCCTGAAAGTTTGCAACGCTTCGCTGGTGGAACAAAGTGGAACACTTACTCACAGCATCCAATTTCTTCGGTAATTCGACTGCTTCGGGCCACTTAGGCATAAGTGCCACGTGATGCGTTATTTGTTCAACACCAAACGTTGTGATTAGTGAGTAGTTGTCAGATTTGCAGAATAATCGTGTCAGCCCAAGAACAGGGATTTTCTGGAGACAGTGAAATTGCGAGTTTAAACCTCCAACATTCGAAGCTAATTAAAAGTGCACGGCAGACTACCAGCTTTCGTGACGCCACCTGTTTGAGATGTTCTGACAGGTGGCCAATCGATAGTGGGTCGTCCTTCAAGCAGAACGATCACATCGCTCGATTGTGAATGCGTTTGCCTATTCGGCACGACCATGTCCATTCAATGCATCTAGTGACGATAAACAACGGGATCGGCCAGCTCAGAACAGTGTTGCTTGGCCACCTGTTAAAATCCAAAAACCTGGGAGAAAATCAAAAGGCTTGACGATTACCAGAACTCACGCTTTTCTGCTAACTCAGATGAGCATTAAGAGACGATCAAACGGCTAGACGATTACTAGAACGCACGCTTTTCTGCTAACTCAGATGAGCATTTGCTCTACAAGGTTTGTGATTGAACTTGGTTCATTTCAATTTATTTCGCCACTCGGAACGTTATCCTCACATCTTGTGGAAGAGTGCGTGGAACGCTCCCTCAAACAGGATGAAAAATGTGCGGTGATGCAGCAATTGTCGTCCAGCCGGCTGTCCAATTGCTTGAATTTATAAAGTGACATACTAATGGTGCCCTATTCGTAAATGATTCAGAATTTCTCCTTCCACATAATACAGACGCATCAGCAATGCTTACCATCTAAACAGTTCTCAAGCCGTTACTTCGATTTCACCCCAAGTTTGCTTACAAGGACTTGCATTTACCATCGTTTTATAGATCAAGAATGCAATACAATCAACAGACAGTTACCGAAAACGGTCAATCCAGACCACAGCAAACCAGGACGACCAGGCTGCAAGGTCAGCAATCATATCGCCGTCAACAGTCTTCCAGTTCCATGACTTCCACCAGTCGAGACGTAAACAGCAATCTTCGAGGGCCACGGGAGCATAGTTCAGCCCCTCGTCCCCTCAGTAAAAATAGGGCCGCTGGTCGAATGCAACCGATACCAGGGAGTTTACCAGGGAAAAAGGGACCATTTGTATACCAACAGCCGCCTCAGCTGCATCAACACCAGCATCCTCCTCAACAAGCCTCCTTCCAGTATCCTGGGTTGATGCAGCCTCCAAATCACCGGCAGGCCCTTCATCCAACTATTGATCATGCTGCGTTTTCAGTCCCTCCGCCAGGAATTCCAATGCAACAAAGCGATCCGAGATCACAACGATGGGGAAAAGAAACGGAGTCTTCAAAACGTGCCAAAATCAGAGCTTCTTCATATGACAAAAGAAATCAACCCGAAGATGGCCTGGAGCGTGTACAATTAACTGTTGATTACGGCGTCAAGAAGGCTCATCAACATCCGGAATTCGCTATACCGAAGTCATCCCTGGACAATTTACTTGGCATTGGTAAGTGCGCGAGTGTTACAAGGCACCAACACATTCAGTAAAAGGAAAACTCTGAAAACACCGCATCGTATGGGTAGCTCCCCATAGCATACTTGTTCGCCGACAGTAAACGAGAGCGAAACTATAAAATGGTTGGTTAAGTGATCTACTGAATTTCACTTCGCAGTGGTTATAAGTTGCATTGTCCCTTCACATGCGCTCCATCTTCATTAGCTCCTTACAGTTAAGAAGTCCCGATATTATTTTGTTCTTCTGGTGAGCCCAGAAGCAGTTGCTGGGTCCAGTTGTATTTGGAACCCCTGTAACAATGCTATCAGCTGAGGTTCACAACGCGTGCGATACGCAGTAATAATTCAGAATTAAGATTCGATTAGATTCCTTTCGATCCCTTGTGAAGGACATCTTAAGTTGTGGCTATGTAGTGAACAATGCAGATATCTACTTTGGTGTTAGACTAAAAGGGGTTAACCGATGTTCAGGAACCATACTTGGATTTGTCCATCAGGAAAGACGAAATATGTAGATGTGTAGGCGGCTTCCCGTCAACTTTCTCAATAGTCTGGGGCCGAAATATTTCATTCATTCACCTTATAAAATTACGAGCAGACCTGAAACAAACTAACAGAATACTCTCGGGGTAGATGTATATTCAAGCAAACCCTGCAGACGTTACCTTCCGGCCTTGGGGTTAATGTGGCCCTCCCCTGTAGAGTTCTCTCAGTATAGGGTCCCACTCTGTTAATGATACCAGTTACCATGCGTGCGTTCCAGTGTTCGTGACAATCGCTATACGAGTAACAATAAAATGTGGTAAACGCATAAAAAATGGGCAAAGATGACGATATAATATCAGTGTAGGATTTGAAGTTAAGGCGGATGTTTTGAGTGAACTAATTCGGCCATTTCAACCAACTCATCAGTTTTGAATAACCAAAATGATCAACCAAAATTGCTGCCGATCACTACAATGGTTGTGTTGACTACCAAACCACTGACTTGGAGCAATACCTAATTCTTTTGAGTGGCATTTGGTTCGTCCCCACAAAGCTCAGCCACAAAGAGTTTTTCAGCCTTATCAAGGTGAGTCAGTCCGTGATGGGGAACGTGACCTTTTAGGTTGTGTAAGAAAGTGTGTTTAAAGGAGAAAAGATGATTCAGGACCAAGTAGTTACTTTATTAGTTACAAGTACGATGATATTAGTTCACAGTTGCAGTGATATCAGCAATCTAGATGGTGCACGGCTCTTCGATTTCGAGTGAGAAATTGAGCAAACCTAATCAAGTGCCTGTCCGTAATAAGAATATTTTGAAGACTACACGTCAAGTTTGTGAGTAGTCTCCGAAAAACTCAGTAGAGTATTGCACTCGGTTCATTTTATTACCACCAAAAAACTAGCGGGGGTGTTTTATAACCGGCCAAATTTCCTAACCATGATTTATTGCTTCTATGGGACTGACCATTGTCCCGCCTGTAGGCTCGACATTTTAACAAATGAAGGCGATCATAAACAACGACTCCCCTGTAGAGTTCTCTCAGTATAGGGTCCCACTCTGTTAATGATACCAGTTACCATGCGTGCGTTCCAGTGTTCGTGACAATCGCTATACGAGTAACAATAAAATGTGGTAAACGCATAAAAAATGGGCAAAGATGACGATATAATATCAGTGTAGGATTTGAAGTTAAGGCGGATGTTTTGAGTGAACTAATTCGGCCATTTCAACCAACTCATCAGTTTTGAATAACCAAAATGATCAACCAAAATTGCTGCCGATCACTACAATGGTTGTGTTGACTACCAAACCACTGACTTGGAGCAATACCTAATTCTTTTGAGTGGCATTTGGTTCGTCCCCACAAAGCTCAGCCACAAAGAGTTTTTCAGCCTTATCAAGGTGAGTCAGTCCGTGATGGGGAACGTGACCTTTTAGGTTGTGTAAGAAAGTGTGTTTAAAGGAGAAAAGATGATTCAGGACCAAGTAGTTACTTTATTAGTTACAAGTACGATGATATTAGTTCACAGTTGCAGTGATATCAGCAATCTAGATGGTGCACGGCTCTTCGATTTCGAGTGAGAAATTGAGCAAACCTAATCAAGTGCCTGTCCGTAATAAGAATATTTTGAAGACTACACGTCAAGTTTGTGAGTAGTCTCCGAAAAACTCAGTAGAGTATTGCACTCGGTTCAGTTTATTACCACCAAAAAACTAGCGGGGGTGTTTTATAACCGGCCAAATTTCCTAACCATGATTTATTGCTTCTATGGGACTGACCATTGTCCCGCCTGTAGGCTCGACATTTTAACAAATGAAGGCGATCCTAAACAACGACACAGCCTCCACGAAGTTTACGGATGGTGGATCGGGGTAGTATTATGTCGTTTTATATATCCGATAGGCACTAACCCAACTCAAATTTTAAACCACCGGTTTGTACTTATAACAGAATAAACAACGACGCAGCCTCCACGAAGTTTACGGATGGCGGATCGGGGTAGTATTACGTCGTTGTATATATCTGATAGGCACTAACCCAACTCAAATTTAAACCACCGGTTTGTACTTATAACAGACAACCAGGAAATCCAAAATAATAGCGGTTTTTGCTTGGACTAGTTTTCCCCACAAAGGAAGGCAACAGTACAACAAAATCTCCTACTATAGACCGTCCTGTTGAAAGCACGTCGGAAAGTGAATCAAGTTGCCTGGCTTTTTATCCAGTTCGTTTAGCCTAGTGGACACATCCCGAGGATATTTCCGACCGTAGCATCACACGTAGCAGCTGGTGCATGTATCAGTCAGCCCGGGTGGGCGGATGGATAAGTTTGTGGACTATTCTCAAAGCAATTCTCAATTGGAAAATGTTTGGGACCGATTGGGTAGCCATCGTTTCGTAGAGGTATGGTAAACAAACGGTGGATCTATTGCTGGACAACGTTTCGCTTTTAAGTGAAAAGCTCCGTCAGGCCAAGTGAATAAGTAACAAAGTTGATCGGGTTTTAAGGTAGTCAGGGATCCAATCCGTAAGATTTCTCATGACCAGCAGACTTGATCAGTGCTTGGTGTCGATCTGAAGTTCTTGTTTGTTAGAAAAATGACCAACACTAAGGATTGATTGGATAGAGGGGATTGTCTTCGTGTTGAAATCGAAGTTCGCGGCCTTGCTTTTCAGGTCTAGAACACTTGCCCTGACGAAGCATTTTTGTCAAAAGCGAAACGCTGCTCAACCTTGAATACGCCGACTGTTTACCACGCCTCTCTAAAACGCTGATGACTATTCTTTCGAGGGCCCTTGTTCGAGTCCAATATGAGCAACTTTAAGCTGGCTGGTGACCTTCGCACTGACTCAAAATAAGCTCTGAAGGCCAGATAATATCCTATGGACTGCCATTCAGTGAGGCACGTCACTCAGAAGACTACTTTACAGCTTAGGGTCAAACAGATTAGCAACAAGTGTCTGAAAACCTAGAAGATTTGACATCTTGATTGATATTGTGGTATTCTGAGGGATCATGAGTTGGCCAAAAGCTCAGTTAAAAATCACGTAGATTGACCCTCGAAATTTGCAAATTGGAACGGAAAACTGAGAATGTACTGAATTGTTCACCTAACGGAATTGTTGCCCGAACATATGTGTTAGGAAAATCAAACATCTCAATGCAGGTTCATGTTTTTTTTAAGAGGGGGTGGGAACTAACTGAACAGAAAGTTCTGGAATCACAGTATGGATTGGTGCAGCTTAATTTACCCAACAGCGGTAGACGCTTCTGCTGTATGAAATGGAGGATATACATCCAAAACACCTTTGCTTGTCACTCAAATGGCGCACCTTGGCAACCAATCAAGGTTAAGCTCTCCTTCATGATTGGTGTGCAACGACATTATGAAACTGCCATCTCTAGAGGGGCTGTTTTTTCTCAAAGCTCTGTCAAAAAATGAACAAACGGATTGTGGGCAGTGTGGACGATCAACCTTAAATCATCTAAAAGTAAAATATTTGCTGCAAGTTTGTTTGGCGTCATTTGACGAATTTCATCCTCCAAACTTGTTCACTAACTTTTTAAGGCGAATAAACCGAGTGCTGCTTAATCAGGATTTTGGAATGCCAAGAACTTTATTCCTTCACTTATGTTGCGTTGTATCAAAGTGAGAATCTTGTGTTCAATACAACCACCAAAAGTAAGAAACTCCTGAAGTGTGACAATCTTAATTGATTGCGCTCCTATGAAAACAATGTTCGTTACTCAATTTTGATTGAAGCAGCCAGTTGACCTGTGTGTTTTCACATCACCTGGACATTTTATGGACAACTTCTGTGACCAGAGTTTACATTGTCACCTAAACTTAGCCAGTTGAGAAAACAGTCTTCAGCGTGTCTCCTGGTTGATTGTGCGAATGTAAACGTGTGCGCCACGTTCCGCTGGAATCATCAATTTATCCAGGTTTTCGTGGCGTGAACTCCGAGATGTTAGCGACTTACTGTTAAGCAACAATGAACGATCTAATACACTGCTCACAAGGTTGCTGAAAACGCTTCGACAACCCACGGCCGGTTTTGCCTTTCATGGAACTGATCAGGTATGCGCAGTCCACGAGTTTCCGTCAACCTTTTGTTCTACTTGAATGATCCACAACCCGTCACCTTGAGAGAAAACTTGTGTTTTCTTGAATACGCGCCGGAAAAATTTCGTAAAAAGCGTCCATGGGAAGCATTAGCTGGAACGAAATCTAACAAGTGAAAATTAACCGACGATATCATACTGAGCTGCAGAAATCAGCGAGATTATCTGTATCCACCAGGTCGAAGGTTGGATAAAACATTGCTTGAGGTTCTCCTTCTGAGATTTTAAGGTTCCGCGACCATGGTCGTAGCATACTGGTAAGCCGGTTGGTCGGCTTCTGTTTCTACACCACCATTCGGTTGTTCCCAATGTCGATTTGTTTTGATTGTGCGCAGAAAATGCCCGCATGAAACATTCGGTTCATGTTCCACATGGCCACTAAATGAAGTCGAAGTTTTCACGAAATCACAGATAACTGAAACTTGTGACTTAATAATGTGGTTAGTAAAATGAATACTAAATTTCCACTGATTTCTATAGCGCTTGTTCGGCATGGATTTTGGAGAACAAATGGGTTCGTCGACTTTTCAAGGTGACTGTCATTTGAGAACATAGGTATATCAAGAGGATTTTTGAAAATAGAAATACTTTTTTGTCACTCTGTTTTTCGACTTGTGTGCAACGAGACAATTTTGCTCTCGTCGTAATCTTTTACAATTTTAAACCTAATTGCACCACAATTTTTAGTCCCAGGCGAGCCAGTTTCAAGCTAACTTATCGTCTTGCCGTCATCCCCAGTGGAGGGCCACGACACTCCGTCAGTGTGGCATACGCAGCCGTGTCGAACGAAAAGTTCTTTCTTGATTGGGTGCGTAAATCTCTTTGTGTACGCGTAAAATGAGGACCACGCAAAATCATGCACGAGATTACTTAATTACCTTGTTATTCCTACGCCTATCTGATGAGCCCCAAGAAGGGCGAAACCGGTCGTGGGCTGTCGATGGATTTTCAGCAGCCTTATGAGTAGTACATTACAAATATACATGTATCGTGATATTTCAAATATCGTAGCGACTGAAACTTGAGGCGGCCTGGTGCAGCACATTCAGTTGCCTGAGAACATCATAAACGAGAGATTCAGCTGGGTTCCAGGTGAGTCTCTCGAAAGAACCAAATTAGCTTGCAGATGAGTGTATATTCGCTAATTTCGTGCAATTTGGTTTCAAGTTGAACATAAGGTTGACGGAAACCCGGGACTGCGCACACCAGACGAGCCCCAAGAAGGGCGAAACCGGTCGCGGGTTTTCAGCAACCTCATGAGTAGTACATTACAAATATAGAGTACAATGAGGACATTGTGGAAAACAGCCAACTAATGTCAGGTTATTGCTAACTCATTGGTAGTATGAAATTGGGAAATTTAGGCCGAGATTTCGTCATTTGCATCTGTTTTTGCCATATACCAGCTTAACTTGACCAGTATTTTGTCTGGCATGCGATATTCACTGAATAGCGATAAGACGTTCCAGAATAAACGTCCCAAGAATAATGCAATTATTTACAGAAATTTACAAGACCAGTGAATGGACTATGAGTGTCTACGTCATGCAGGCCGGCTTCGAAGATCCTTCAGGAACATCGGGATTTATACGCGCCGGTAGGGTTTTGTGTCGCTGTTCAAGTTCCCGATAGTCTTAACACCATGGATGCTAAATTCTGCGATACAGTTCTTAATGGGACAACGTTTCCCTTACCGAACTTTCTAAATCTCACCTTTTACAAGATCTGTTGGCGTTTATTTGCGAAATTCACAAACTGTTTGCCAAAATTATCCTATGCAAATCGCCTTTTACTGTCAAAATCTTTGGCAGTGCTAGAACAGTGAATTTTAGTACGTCACTTTCTGAAACACGGATCATAAAAAACGATACGATCGCCATATGGCCAGCAAACCTGAAATTCTCGGGTGCTTAACTGTGAGACGAAATTTGCCAGAGGAATTTTTGTACTGTTTCCAGCTCCCATAAATTGGGTTCTCCTCGTCGAGTTTGTACGCTGTGTATTAGTGGCTTGTTCTCCATTGCCAAATTTTCCCTGTTGGTAATAACTTTAAATAGCTGAAGAAAGCTGCAAACCAAACGTCCATTCAGCCAAGAGAAAATCTAGTCAGATTATCAAAGGAATCAAAACGTTGAAGGTCATTTCAGATGTGTTAATTCCGCCGCGTCAAGGTTGCACTGGTAGATTAATAGAAAGGCATTTGTCTCGCGTTAAGATCTCAATGATAGGTACCGCCAATGAAAACGGTAAGAGATAAACTCGACTTGAGAACTTCCGCTCTGGCATGGGCACACAAAAATAACACTGCCAGCACACGAAGCAGATTGTTTAAAAGACCGTAATATGAATGAAATTTCTACAAATCCCTGGAGAATCTAAAACTTATGAAATTAATACAGTAGGGCGTTCGGCTGATCAGTCGGAGGAAAGGTATTCGGTGCAACCAGCTGGCTCATATTATATGTATATATACTACAGAATAATGAGAAATAATTAAAAAAATCAATTTAATTACTCCCGGCTTGTGGCAAAATACCGATAATATTTTTTTCAAGCATGATGAGCAAATGAATATCACGTCCGCCAACCTGTTCACCCTGAGCATAAGTTTCACTGGCTCTACACTAGTTTGTTTACATTTTCCGGAAGGATTAGTGTTTCTTGATTATATCTTTTAGTTGGCACAATAAGTGTTTTATCTTCATTTAACAACCGTCAATTTTGGTTATTCGGCGTTCTTTAATTTCGGCCCAAAATGCCTACTTGGCACTTGGGGATTTTTGGAAACAGAAGAATAAATTTCGACAAGACAGTGTGATCACGATTCCCAAACCTGAGGTGACGAATTGCATGATGTGAGATGCCCAGCGTCCTGAGATCGGCTTCCGAAAACACCACAAATTAGGTGTTTCCATTTTTAGACCCAAGACAAAACATAAAGATGAGAGACTAAAGCCAGGAAATGGCTCCTTGGAACACTTAGTTCACGGAAGGACAAACTAATTCCTGTGAAATTTTGAAGTTTTTTGGCTGCACGCAACCGGAAAATTAGTTAATTTGATGCCATCTGGAACTGGCTGGTCTATCAATGACCTGGCGAACGAGCTTCGTTAAATGTATCAGAACAAAAAACCTGAATGTTGCCAATGTCTATCAACAAAGAGTAAAACAAAACCAGTATCTGAAAGCACTCTCAAAATGTTGACTTTGTGTAACTAGCATGTCTTATTGACCACAGTTTAACGCAAGGTATTCTGGTAGGTCGCACATTTTTTAGATCTAAGGATGGTTTTGGATGATGATGAACTGGATCGAAAATCAAACTCTTACTGCTCAGGTGTTTTTGCTCACCCAAGTAGCCTTGATTTTTAGCGACTATTTTGCGATGAGAAGTCATAAAGCTACTATCGCCTGAGGCATAATTTCTATATCAAAGCAGGCTGAATCCATCGGGTGAAACTGGGAAGGTTTTACTCTTTTGTGGGTCACCATCTAACTGCGTGTAAATATTAGGTATTGCAGCAGAACATCTGTCTGGTGTGATGCTGACAACACATGACGGTGTGTTTTGGTTGTGCTGGTCTGACCTTCAGCGCATCAGTGCATATATTTTGCACTTCCGAAGAGTGACGGGAAGTTTAACGTCTTATGACGTATACCCAGCACCTTCAATAGTACAATCCAATAACTTCCATCAGCTTCTGCATTCCATGAGACTGTGAGATACATAAGACCTGCGGGTTTCTTGTTTCTGGTCAGTTCATTCCGAATGATGGATATTCGTTAGTCTTGGAACACTTCGTCAATACAGTGAAATGCCCCGTCATGCGATGACGAGGTTAGCAACTTCTGAAACGGTCAAGTGAATAAAACATTCTCTCAAAATTACGTGTAACCCACAAGATTTACAACAAGTGAATGAACGATGACCTACTTGGAGTCTTTTTTCATGTATGTTTCCATAAACTTTTGAGTAACTACTTCAAAAATACGAAACCCTTGGTTTGCATAATCATGTCTTAACCCAACTACACGGTGTATCGTTCTCGTTTGTATTTACTTGTAAATTAACAAACCCCACTTCATTGTTTACAACATGACTGTTCTAGGTCATTTGGGATTGCGCAAATAACATACCTGATCTTTTCCTAACCCCTTGTCAGTGCCATGGAAATGTGTCATGCCGCTCCTATCGGTCCCCGACACATACACAGGCCAATGATGCGCGGCCTAGTTGGTCGACCAACAGATGAGCACGACAAATCCGATACCGCAATGTCTGTGCTCACCCCGTTTCAGCAGAGCTGCATTCGATCTTTAGCCAGTATGAGTGTTTGTCCGCACACCATTCTGCCTATAACCGTGGGAATGTTCACTCGATCTTTCATGATGGAAGAGAACATTTTCCTACAAGCTCTCAGTGGTAAGTGCGCAACGTTTGTCGACTGAGCTTTCTTAATTTGGCCCATGCAATCTCAGTGCTCTCATCGTAATGCTTCTCTTGAGCGAGCCTGTCTGGATTTTAACGTCTAGCCATTCAGGTTAGTACAACCAATCCATCAACTTTTCATGTGTAGACAGTTGTCAGCTAGATTTCTGCAGCTGATTGTCTATAGTGCAATCTGCAGAAGAAAACTCTCCAAGCAGCTCTTGAGTTTGGCATCAACGTTTTACCGGAATGAAGTTTATTCCATCCATTAAGCACCCTACTCGTCGTTGTCGTAGATGAGTGCCAGTCATTAATTTTTCCCCCTGGTCTGAAAAACCGCTGAAAATTCTGTACAAATATTGAACATCCAGAAAGGAATCCAAAATCGTGATATAGCTGATGAACACTTATTTGACACGAGAAAACCAGGCTTCGTGAACTGATCGACTAACATGATTAAATATCACTCGGTCTCGAAACACCCTTCCATGACGTAAAGAGTTCTATCTTTGTTTTTGATAATACCCAGTAACCAAGTGATTCTCGGAAGAATCACTTCAAAACATGCAGAGATTCTATGAAGATCACGAGCGCCAGGCACTTGCTAATTCGGGTAAACTTTATTGCTGCAAACTTCGCTGATTCGACATGTTAATTCTGTTGAATTACAGTAGTTCTCGAAGTCACCAGAAATGGTGCCTTTGTTCCAGCGTTCCAACATTCTTCAGGATACTGCTAACCTGTTTTGGCTTAGGTGGCTAATCACAATATTTCCGTAATTTGTAGAGTCAATTTTCAGACAGTCTTGCTCGACGTCTCTCTGTCATCTGACAGGCTCTTAAGGCGACCCACTCCTCAACGGTACCTAGTTTCAGATGGAGCTGTTTCAGCCAGATAATTCATTGAGGACACTAGTAGTTACTTAACCGATATAGAAAAGACGGCACACAAACCCAGCTTCGTGTCCTTTGGATTGAAAGGATCTCTGGAGTATCCTAACAGAACGAGCAGTATAGATCTTTTCTGGTGATACGTCGAGCGCTAAGATGGAGCAGTCAACCGTAATGGAAACGTTTAAGAACGCAATCTATTTGAATCTACCGTATAAAGTTTGTTGGTAAGCATAGTCAATCGCTCCATTTTTCAACCTTTATAGTGAACCCTACAATCCGGGTTTACCATGAAATATCAAACTCATCTGAATTTCAAAGACAAGATGTTGGACCGGATGCAAAAGAGTAGTTTCCATTTTTTTGTGTTTGCACAGCTTAGGATGTTGGGCACGCGACACGGCAAAATGTCAGGAGGATGCACCAGATTCTGTCATTCTGGGCCAGAAGCAGACTCGCTACGATGGGCACTTGGCCGACCATGTCACATCATTGACAGTAGACACGTGATCAGCCTAAGCGTGATGTCTAAAACGCCCATTAGTTTGCCATTATCGATCCACAGGCGAACTTGGCAACACCCGCACTATGAGCAGTTAGTGTGTTGCCACAATGAATGGTCATCTGACACATATATCTGGCACTAAACAACTTTCTAGACCACTCATCGTCTGAAAGGATGAGATCATTACTTTCTAAATAAGTTGTCCCTGTCTTTCTTCAAGAACTAACTGTTTTCATAGAGGAGACTACGCACAAGGATGCTGAAAACTTCGAGAACGTCTCGAGAACTAACTGTTCTTTCGATTAGCACCGCTAGAAGTGTACTGACCTAAAGATGACAACTACATTGTGTGGTCATTCAGTCAAGGAACATTCTCCCTACAGACGGCTTTTCAGTCCCTCTTAACACATATTGCAGTAGAGTTCCAGTAGATGACCGGTTACAATGGCAACTCTGTAGATGAATTAGGCTGATACACTGATAAATTACTAGTAAGAGAACGGGAACCATCTGGCGCATTCAAAATAGTATTCAGCAGATTGCTTGAGCATCGCTGTAGAATGACAGCAATAGGCCCTAAAATATTGGAGTCATTTTATGACGTAATCACTCCTTCGACAACCATACCGCTGTTATGAAGAGCGTTCCGTAAGTCGCATAAAGAAACTCTGAGTGGCTTTTTGTTTGCTAAATGTGCTTAGGACAAGATCCTTGAGCGCCTGTTTCCCTAAAACCTCCCGTTTCTAACTAGTTGGTCTCGTCTGCGTAAAGGAAAGCTACTTTATCGTAAGAATCAGCGAGTTTAGAACGCTTCGGTGACGCCTTGATGGACAGACTAAGAAGTGACGCTGACTAGGAATACGGTTTGTGACATTTGGGCCAATGCGGCACCAGTGCCTTTGGTCGGTGCTCTTCGTCACTATAATACCTATTCAACTGAACTACATACTGTTGTTCCTCCCTCTGATGATGTCATGTTCCAGCATCCACTTGAAGCAGGAAGCCATGCTTATAGCAAAAAACGTTCCAGTAGGCTCATGTGTTAATGATTACTGGCTGAGAATTATGCCAATGCATAACCATTCTCTATGCTGTGAGGGAGTCACACACGTCCTCAAATCCTGAAATCTTTGACCACACCAGGTTTTTCATCTGCGTTCCGTCTCATCAGTTGCGTGAGCCCCGCAGACGGTTTCCTTCCAATCCACACGCCTTCCAAGTAATTTGAAAAAACTGACACCGTTTCTTAGCCATCTGTGATGGGAACCTCTAGCAATAAACACAAGGACTGAATTTGAGAACAGGAAGAACGTAATAACCTGGTATAACTTTACACGGGGCTCTAGGAGCAGTTTCGTGTCACAAACCAGTGAAACTTTGTCGTTTATTTAATGTGTCATCAGAAAGAAATCCAGGTAAAAATTGACAAGCGGAGGCTTCTCAATATTGTTGCTTAAGAAAAGATCTCTATGAAGCCCCTTTCGATGTTTTGAGACAAAACATCTTGATTGTTGGTTTTGACCTCAAGTACTTCTAATGTTCAGCAAGAACTACAGTCCATTTCTTTCTAACAAAGGTCAAACTGTAAGAAACTCTCTTTCAAAAAGGGTGGAGAAGAACTTTAGTCTTGTTTTGAAAATCCCAAGACTCAGGGAAATCCATAATATTTCAAAGTCAGTAGCAATATACGAAATTCAACTGAACGAGAGCTCAGTTTGGCCTAAGCAAAGATTCCACACTTTTCCTGTTCATCAAACAACCCTAAGGCAAAACAGATTTGTTTTTCTGATCAAGCGAAAACTCCGATTCACCCTGGTCGTGAATATAACGCGAAGCACACAAATCAGGGCATGATTAGATGGTTTATCACAAATTCTGTCAGATATCTAATGCAAACAATTGATTTCTTACCTTACAAACACCCGGGTTTGATGCAAAACAAAGTTTGCACTGACATTTATCTCGATTGCGGCTGTCATTCAGCACAGTCATTTTGATGATTTCCAACACGCGAACCACGTTCAAAACGTCAAATTATTCTGGAAAAAATAGGAGATAGTCAAATTACGGACGAGCAACTGGTGCTCAATATAAAGTCAATAACATAGTTTTGGGCCTAAATTGGAACCTATTCTGAAAACTGATGATGTCCTTAAATTTCGTAAGTAAATGGTAAAGAACAGTCTTTCGAAATTCGCAGACATCCCACCATCGGCTTCGTCTTATATAGAACTCATGAGATGGACATAGTCATGCAAGTTGAGGAAATAAACCCCTGGCTTGAAGAGCAGTTTGGTCAACTGTTCATCATGACGAAACTGTATGAGCTGAGATGGGATCCCTCATAGTAAATATCACATTGAATGATTGTTCAAGCATCCTGAGACTATGTCTCGCTAATTAGCCTTAAACAGTGTGAAACAGGTTTTTGGCTCACTGTATATTTTAAAAAATCCACCAAAACGAGGGAAACCTCACTGAACATCTTCGTAAGAGAACCTTAAGGCAGTCTGTCTGATGCACATTGGGCTAATGGCCATGGCCATTGAATCTTGAGCTCCAGTAATTCCACCATGCAAATGAGCTAAAAAGCCCCTTAGATGTTATGACGAATCTTGAGCTCCAGTAATTCCACCATGTAAATGAGCTAAAAAGCCCCCTTAAATGTTGTGGAAAGGATTCCGATTAAATTTATCAGATTAATGATAACATTCCTCATGAGAGAACATAAAAACTTTTTCAAGATAAAAGTAATGAGACCACATTCTCGAAGGCACGAAATATGGACAATCATTACTTACCACCCAATGAAGTTCATGATACTTTCTTCGTCAAATTTGGTTTCGGCATGCAACATAATCCCGAATGGACGTAGAAAGACGTAAGTTTTGTATAGTCTATATTCATTCTACTCATTTTAACAGTCTACCTCATGTCCCAAAGCATTTAGGCTGTTTGGTGAACATCATAACGGGAAAGAGGCGTGCTTGGCGGTCACCCTGAGTTATTGCACCTGGATCTTTTACACAACTGTATGGGAACAAATATATGGAGTTGGGGTTATAGGCGGTTCAAATAAACGCCTCATAGCATCTGAAAGAGGTGCAAAATGTGGGCATAATCGCATTGTACGTGCCAATTATGGCTAGAATACATATCCCTAACCCTAAACCACAGGGTACTGAGTAATGTTCTTGTTGTGTGTCATCGATAGGCCTCAGGGTTGAAGTCGGTCTACAAACTACGCCCATCTGGTGTTTGTTTTGCCTTTCTTCTAGAAAATAAACGTTGTGCAGGCCATAGTTCCGTTTTAGGATTATCAAATCCTGGCAAAATAATATTTGGCGCCTTGCGGCCTCCACGAGAAAATAAAGACCACCCAGCGGTACTAATGCCTTTTTGACCGATTGAAATTGGCGTGAATCGACGAAACAGAACAAAATCTTCAGCGAAGCAAGTACAAAGTTTTTACAAGGCATTCCCATTCAGTGGAAAACCGTCCATAAGCCGAATGTATCTTTCTGATTGGTTTTACTATTCGTCATTTCTAAATTAGAGTTAGTATGGAGGTGATGTTCAAAAATAAGTGGCTGGGTCGCGAGGGAAATAAAACAAACTATATCGCGTACTAACAACTGCATCAACATTCTCCTGCATATCGAATAGTTCTATGAACACGCCCCATACAGCATTGGAAAGAGTCGAGGGGATTACGGTTCGGCTACTTGACGCTTCCAGCAAGAGATACTTGACAACCCTGAGACTACTGTGACCCAAAAATGACGGTCCCTAGCAGATAAAGTTATCAGATAATGCCTTATGATATATTGTGCCACCTTTATAATCCTATTCCATATCTTATAGCTGTATTAACCGAAAGATAGAGACCATACGGTGACATTTTTGTGTTTGTCCGAAATTGAGGAAAATTACTAACGCACAACGAGTGCACTGGGCAAAATGTGGGAGATTTTATTCGGCAGACGATATCTACAACCTTAGTCACAAAAAGTCAACACAAGTTTTCAGATTATCACAAATTCACACAGTTTACACTTCCAACGATCGCACCATTGATCGTTGAGGGTAGGTGACTAGAAATGTAAAATACAGTTTTGTATGGGTGGCCATTTTTCAGCAAAGTTCACTAGTGTTGGGAAGGTTATCTCTGATGACAGTGGAGCGGTAGCGTCCTTTTGATGACAACTTTGACAAACATTAAGGTTTTGAGATTCCAAGGAGCATTCGGCATCATGAGGTTTATTTTACAAAACGTCTGACATCATTGAATTCGACTGAATTCACATTCACAATTTCGTGCATACAACCTATAAACTAGCACATCGGTCCGCCGTTACTCGTGCAAACCATCTGTGATGGGAATATGAAAAACTATTAATGAATCAACCATCACCATATGCGCAGCGTGTACATAGGCTCTGCTTAATTCGTTCAAAATAAATTGACGTGAAATTTCCAAAAATCTTGGTGGTACTGTTCAGCAGTGATAGAAAATACACCGTGCGTGTTGAAAGACACAAAACAACACGAAAAAACGGGAATTGATTGCGAAATCAAGGCGGTAAAAAAGTAGGTGTCAGCGACTCAAAATCTTGGTCAACGCTGCTAGCCCTCCTCAAAATCAGGCATAATGAAAACTTTCTTCGTAAGGAAGGGCACCAATGTAGCCCGAAACATCAAGCAATGCAATTTGGTATACATATATGTCTTTCTTCATGATTCATCATGCAATTGGTTCCACAAATTATCTTTTTGTCTGTCTGTCGTTGCCATTTGTCATTTAAAGTGGCAATTTTTTAAGCTCTCCTAGCGCGACATAATCTCAATGATTATTTCAACCACATGCAACATGTCCTATTTCGTGAATTGTGCAACATATAGGTTCAGTTAGAACATAAGCCTGGCGGAAGTTGAGCTCCAACAAGGCTGAAACCGGTCATGTACTGTCGAAGGGTTATCCCAACCTTCTGTGACGTGTACGTCTTCAGGAGACTATACTGCGATGTTTCGAATGTTGTACCAACTGAAGCATGCGGTAGCCTTTTTGAAGCGAATTCAGTTGAAGAATATCATAGACGAGACATTTAGTTTGGATGCAGTTGAGTATCGCTTTAAAACCTAATGAGTTTTCAAGTGAGTGTGCTTCACTAACTGAGTCGAGTGTGTCCCCAAATTACATAGGCCACCAAAAGATTTTCTGCTTTAATTAGAACGGATTCATTTGCTTTTCCTTGTCACGTTCTACTAGGCACTGTCTGATACTAAAGTGTTGTTTCCGGCCAAAATTCTGTGGGTGATTGAAGCTTAAGACTATTTGTCCACAGTATTTCAATCACTGTGTTCTACTTCGCCGAGATGTGGGAGACAAACCATTGCCTGGGGGAAGTTATATCAGAGCTTGTACGATTACTGTGTACTACCTTCAGTCACTTAACATAGGTTCGTCTGTCTTGAGTGAGTAGATTTTGACCCATTTTTGTTTTGTTCAGCAAGCAAAGTTAGGTGAATGACAAATCTGTCAGCCCTCGTGTAATCATTGTTTTCTGGAGCACTGAGTGGATAAAGAGGCAGTGTTCCCAGCTCGACCAAGCTAAACTTTGAGGAGATATTGGGCATTTTTCCATCGCAAGCTTTCCAGCCTCTAGATTTAGCGGAAAACATAAAGTGGTTATTCAGTCCGAATGACAACTACTTGCCCAAACTACTCCTGGAATATTCCCACTGCATTAATTTGTTTCCACTAATATCTGTGTAGCTTTGTGATGACCGAAATAAGAGTTTTCGTATTCTTGTTCGATTCTGAATGAATTTTGTAAACTCTTGGAGTTATATACTCCCTCGCCGTTCACAAAAATATTTCTAAAGAAGGAATTTGCTCTTTTCTGTGAATGAAACAGAAACGGCGCGATCATAAAAAAGTTAGAGGCTTTAGATAAACATCTAATGAAAAATTCTGTCTGTCGGTAAGAGGATGCAAGTTAACACCAAATTGCATAATGATCTAGTTTGAACCAAAACGTCAAACAGCCTTCAAATAAATCCCTTATGTTATAGTGCTTCGGGGCATCGACCGGTGCATTCGGATAGCCTGCAAATATTTCCTCCATACAGGCACTAGCAAGGTTAACTGAGGAGTAGAAACCACAAAAATGCATTTAGTAGGTATTCTGTGCGACGTCGTTTAGTTTGTCGTATACATCCTTTTAAACGCTTGCTTGAACGTCTTCCCTGCTTTAGTACACCTGCTTATGGCGGGCTAACTGCGAACGGCTGAAAGCTTGAAATATGGTGAGGGTAGGGGAACAAATCTACGAAACAATCATCATCATCATCATCATCGACAGTATAACATCAGTGTTCAACACCGATGTTTCACTGCGGTAGGAACAAACCTGAGAACAGACCTGCTTTTCTCATGAAAGTGTTGCTCTTGCTTCCCACCCGGCTGGAGTCACGTGGAGTATAACAGTACAACAATTTATATTTGTGCGATCATGACTTCAAAAACAATTTGGTGGCTGCCCTTAAACGGAACTGCAGAAGCGCTAGTCATGCGTCATCTATGTATTCATTAAAGGCGTGAAGTCTGACTTGAAAAAGTTTTCAGGCAAAAGGTTGTTCAGTTCTATCAAGCAAAAAAAACAGGTCGTATCACAATTTTTTCTCAGGTGGTATACATCTCCGTTGTGACTCAACGATGTGTGGCAAGACTACATTTGCTTGCCAGAAGATTTCTCTAATTGTATTATAGGACAAAATACACATGAACATTGTGAAAATGAATATCATCCGGAAGCAAAAGCTGTTTCAGCAGTTTCCTTGATCACAAAAGACATTTTAACCTCGTGAGTGAATCACATGGAAGCAATGTGATTAAAAACTATCGAATACATCAATTGTTTAAGGCGGTAAAACGTGCAAGTTCCGGATTATTAGTCTGAGCTGGTTTGCTTAGCAAGTGATCAGCAGCAGCGGCTGTTGGCTAGGTAGCAAGAAGCGTAAAATCTATACTCATGTACTTGAGTTCGGTACGACAGCTGGTCACAAAATCCTACTCAAAATTTTCGTAAATCCCCTGATGAAAACGTTTATCATATCTGACCATATTGCTTTGCCTGTAACCGCGAATGACATAAGAAGACTAACCAAGCAAACTCCGGAACCAACGCTGGACAATATTCCCTTTTGGAGGTTAGGCACAAGTGGGGAACTACAAAACTGCATCTCAAATATATCTTGAAATAGGGCAGCAGAATGTAGGTCAGTAAGGTTCACTCACGTTGGATATCTTCTCTAAAATCAAACCTGTGTTGGCATGTGAAATGTATCTCCCCATAAAAGGCACGTTGATTACTGAAGTTATCCTCTCATTAATTTCATCACACCTCCGCTTTCTTTGGCATCCAAGCAAAGAGGCAGCAAAAAACGCAAGGAATGACTTTTTAAGGCCTTTGCAATCAAAGCGAAAACATAGATGTGGATCGAACGTTAAACCGGAGCTGTTTTTTGAGGTATGACCGACCTAATAGAATAGTCGTTTTCCTTCCTCCATGCGCCTTGGTTACACTTGGTGCGTGTAAAATTGACTGCTCTTATGGGACTGGAGAGAGTAAAGACCCATGCGGTTTTCGTCAGTTGACTTGAACCTAAACATGTTGTTTTAATGAAGTGCACCATTTGTCTTTGCGAATGGATTACTAAAATTTTTCTTTTTTATATTTAAGGACAGCGCACAGGTCATCTAGTGTCAAATTAAATATGAGTTCGTTTGGTGATCCGAAATTATAAGCTGCCGGTTGTGACAATAAATACTTCATATCCTATATAGTAAACATCAAAACGAAATAGGAACAAATAACTCCTTCTTAGGGGCCATTTTACCTTCACGATCTGCCAGGTGACGAATGGTCACTTTTATACCCGGTTGGACGCGCAACAAATAAGAGAAAGCCATTTTATCGGTATCTGCTTTTGTTCTTTCATTTGACAGAGGAAATATCCAATAGGATGGCCTCGAACCCACTGTACCAACGAAACAATAGAATCGAGTTCACCATGTGCACCAGCCTGCTTCCGTTATTCGTCTCCATTCTGATTGGCTACATCCTCGGCCTGGCTCTCGGTTGGCAACTGGGCATTGCGGTTGCTGTGACAGCGCTGATCATATACATCATCACTGTTTGTGAGTTTATTAATGACTGTACTGATATCGTCATTTCTTAGACCCACTCTTCTGTCTCAAAGATGAATGTTTTTTTGAAGTTGATCTGTAATACCCCGTCTTGCCTATTAGCAATAGACACCTGAGCATAGGAAATATCCTGGTGTATATTATACTGGCATCTGTATATATTGGGCGAGCAGTACAACACTCAGAGGAGATAAAGAGAAACGGCAAAACAGGGCAAAATGCGCTTATCTTTGTCTGTGAAGCCATGACTAAATAGCATTTGACTTGAATGCAACATGACATGTGGATGGACGATGAACAGGCAGTAAACTGCGTGTGCTATTAGCATGAGAGATATGCCGTCGGGCAGTGACGCGTATTGCGTCAAGCGGGGTGGTCCATGTCTTCTTCAAGCTCTTCATCTGAATGCACAAGCCCACTTTGTGGAAGCAGACCGCCCAGTGTTCATCTGCGTACAGCATTCGGATTATCGTTTTTTCTGACAATAGTGGGCCAGTTTATGATAGGCGACCGTAACTACCGTCCCAGAATCTATTCCACCTTCTGTCTCCAGTAGATATGCTGTAGCGGAACAGATACAGTCATCTGATCAACCAAGAAGGCATGTACACAGATGCCCACCATGATAAATTTATCGCTCTTTTGCAAATGAGAGCTCCCCCACGAGAACAAATGAGCTAAGAAGCACTTGGGGTTTGCTTTCAGGTTATAGGTTATATATTTGGCTCAGGTTCTAGCAACTAATCAAGATGATGCACAATGCGACAGCCAGAAATTTGTGCCCTGTGTTCCTGCTCTAACAGCTCACTTAACAGCTCACTAATTAATGGTAGGCGGAGATATAATGGCTTAAGCGATACATCCACATTCAAAGGCTCTGGTGTGGTCTTCATTGTATTTCGTCACGAAGATCAGGTCTGAATCGTCGTCAAATCGTAAAGTGTTTGGTTTGATCTCAGATTTACTGGATAGGGTGTGTCCTTCCATAAACGCAATGCTGCGTGCTCTTCTCAACAACGAGTAAAATAAGTGCACCAGCCAAGCTTCCATCGTCCTATCGTGAGAATGATATTTTCTTACATATACAGAGGAGTGTATAGCTGTTATTTTACGGGGAAACATAGAAGCTAATCACCATTAGACTAATAAGACCCCGTCGCTTGAGGACAAACAATATGGTTTTTTGCCTGATGATACAATTATGAGGATGCGTTTCCTAATGCGACCTGGAAAGTATGATACATTTTCGGGTGTGATTCGTATGGGACATCCTTGATGAATGTACACCCTGCGATAAAATTACGGGGTCACCTACATTTACTGTCGAAACTACAGTTTCCGTGGAATTAAATGATTTTTGGTCATCACGTAACTAGTCCAGTCGTAATTAACTACCTCAGCTTGTGAGAAACATTCGGTACCGAATCACAAAATGTGAAAGCGGACACGAAAGGATTATTGAACCATCAAACAGCAGCAGAGGTTTTCATGACACTACAAAAAATTTCCAGAATAAATTTACAACTCACCTCGTTATACTGTTTCTTAAATGTATGGATGATAATTTGGTGGACACCTTTTTAGTTTCATCTCAAGGCGCCTTCCTAGTTAGCTTTGAGTTCTGCAACTGACTACATTGGCCCTGTTAGTAGAGAACAACTGTTAAGAGTAGGACTGAAAGTTGTCCACTCTTCATAGGACCAAAAAGGAGGCAGCCCTCGATAAAGGAGTGAATGTGAACCACTGTGTTGTGGTGTTTAGGTGTCCAACCTTTCTGTTCATTGATGAAAGTGAGTGGCAATAGTAATCCAGTGCTCTGAGTCACGCTGACTACCAACAATTGCAATTTGGAGCATTGTGTGAATGAACACTGCATTCAACCGAAACCTGTATTTTCCGTACACATCTCATTTTTTCAGAAGTTCCGTACATTTGATGTTGTTCTGTGCGTGAAACTTTCACCGGTTCTAGACGACAGGATTTAGTCTGAGCTAAGTGAAACTGGACGTCCGACCATCTGAGACCCGTACAACACTTCGATTTATCTCATTTCAGAATAGACGTAACATTGAGCATTTTTGTGAACATGTCTGTGAGCCACAATGAGAGTGAGAAATCGTTCCTTATATATGACGCATTTTCAATAGAGCTGGAAGCCTTCTCAGCTTAGAAACTAAGCGAAATAACGATGATGAGCTCATATCAGACTGTGATGTATACACCAAGATATTTTAGAACCGCACTTTTTCATTACCTGACAAAAGAGTTTTAAGATTACCAGACAAGATAATATAGTAATTTATGCTAACGGGAGCTAGCTTTTGCCTGCTCCAGTGACGGCGTGGGACTTGTCGATCTGCAGTCACGAACACCACCCAATCGAGACCGTATGAACTGTATCAGCACGGCAATCGCATAAAGATGCAAAGAACTATAGATCTAAAACTGTGTTAGTGGCCGTCCGTAAGTGAGTCCTGATGTATTTGAAGCAGAAAGATAGAAAACGATTATCAAACTCTATTATGACGAGACAGGAGTGATCCTCTAATTTCATTGCGCCTACTGTTTCGCTTTTTCACACGTCAGGCTTTAAAACCAACACCTCTGCAAATTAGTTTCTAGTGGAACTTATCGCCCTGCACAATTCACTTAATTTTACTCACCTGCAGTATAGTAAAGACAGGTTCTTTCGTGGCATGTGTATACGTGTGTCTACTAACAACAGAGTTGAAAGACTGGATATGCAGGATAGCAGATGAGTAAACAATGCTTTCTATGACTGTTTACATTCTAGCTGCAAGCCAACATTCATTTTAGGTGTATGTATCATAAAAACTTTGACCTCGTTCAACAAAGATTGGCCCATTCAGCGATTAGCTTAAAACCGCGTATTCCTAGTGTTGAAAGAATTACAGCTTACATAGTTCCGATCCGTACTGGGACCACAATTCACCATCTACGCCATGAGCTGGAGTGTTATTTGTTGCCGACTTTGAGGAAAAGTATGAGGCCCACTAGTCCATGCATTTTTCAAGCCCTCGTGTAAACAAAGACCGATCAGGCAGACAGATGTCGATTGACGACAGTGGTACAAATGCACGGAGGCAGCATCAATTGGACCATTTGCGACAAATGTCGAAACCTCTCCACGTTTTACTGAAAGTGTGACACACCAGTAAAATACCAGTAAAATCGGTCAAGAAACAACAGGTCGGATTAAAAGTCGAAGTCAAGTACAGAGATCATTCCATCAATGACCAGAGGATGAGAGCAGAGGACGCCAAACGCAGAGGCCAGATGTCACAGGCCAGTCGGGACACAGGATGACATGCCAACCAATACAATCGTCCGACCGAACAGTCAAGTGTGATCGTGAATCAGCTCCGACCAGCCGCACGTATATTAACACAAACTCACTGCTACTCAACACAAAACACACAACCAGTAGCCCGTTGCTACGCGCCACTCCGCGCCCTAGCAACGCACCGCCAATATTCCTTCGATTGATGATGCAATGTTTGCAATCAAACCGCCCAGCTCGGTAAAAATATCAACGACTATCTACGCTAGCTGAGCTAACAAAATTCTCCTCAATAGCTAAGGTAAAATGGAGTGTAGATTCGCACCTTACTAAGGTGGTCTTTTGGTATGTAATTTTTGGACGCCGCGTCGTGATGTGGTAGATTTGTGATTAGTAGCCCATTGTAAGGTGACTTTTAACCTCCGCTGAATTTCGACAACTAGTACAGGCCCCGTAATACGAGCAATAACTTTTATCTTCGCCGGAGTGATCAGGATAAATTCGGTCCTCCCACTGCGAACAAGTTCGACCACACGTCTGGGAAGCATCTGGAGAGGTTAAGCTTTCTATATCACTCGAAGCCGGGCTGTCGACAAATACTTAAGAACAATAGCATACGTGGCACCGTCTGGTTATTAGCAGAACATCGTTCAAAGTTTTCAGTGTTCTAAACATAATTGAGCGGTAGTCATAAGGTAATTCGTAACCAAAAGTGAGAGGAACTTGAGAGCATCCACAGGCTTGCCACAAAATCCTCTGTTACTGGACTTTCACAACCGTTTCTTCTAATTTCACCTAGTCACAGACTGTCATCAGATATACCGTAAACGGACAAACGCAGCACTAAGGAAAGCTGACAACGTCGGTAAATAATGATTCACATTTCCGTGTGCCTTTCACAGGATGAAATATTTAAACTTTGTTCCCAATGTCTGTAATTAGTTACAATTCTATCATCAGAGCCTTTGGGTATGCATCCGAACAGTCGCATCTCACCACAAAACGTTGCTAAGATACCACGTAAACATGCGGCGCAATCATATGGCATCATTATCTTCAAAATTTATACCTCAAAACTTGCCCCCTGACACGGTTAAACATAAAAACCAATGCATCACAACAGTATTACGGTTTGTTGCACAATTAGTCTTGTATTTACTCAGCCAGCGGTAGAATAATATACACTTGAATTTTATTAGAGTTTTGTTAGCATTTTACTCGGTAGCTTTGGTGCATGTGAAATCCGGAAAACTGCATTGCTCATCCTCGCCTACCTGAACGGAGTCAGCCATATACCCTGTTTATCCCAGTCAACACTGTTAGCGATAAACAAGAATAAATAGTGAAGTTTTGACAGCTGATTACTTCTTGTGAAGTGTAGTTTTCGAATGATTACTGATCACTGGTTATTTCGAGGAATATAGAACCCACTGTCATCATTCGGATGAGCAAAAGTCGTTTGCAGATTTCCAATTCTTGAGCGTCCGCTCAAAGGTTGAACAACGGCCGTCCGCTGACCCATGGCTGGGATAGCTCGCCCAAATGAAACGGCGTGCGATGTCCGGTAAGTGACCGATATTTTACCTGGGAACCTGTAAACCCTTTTCCACGGGCACGCTCCAAAGCGCAACAGTGTCGCGTGAGAACCAGGGCCTAGAACAGCGCGTGGGGTTAATGACAGTGGCATCGTAAAAACTATGACATCACCGATTAGACTCACTGAAGTGCATTTCTCAAAATAGTTGCGTGTATGAGGTTGGTACGGTGATAACTTGATCGTAGTATTTTGTTCACACGACATTGCTCAACCACAGCGGAGACGCTTATGCACACAAGATTATTAGTGACAGTAAAGCACGCAAAGTCGAAAGACCAGAAATCTATGTTAGTCCCTCTTTACATAGCAAAGCAACCGAGAGCAGTCGAACTGTTTTTGAATCCGAAACTTTACTGAATTAATGGTTGCAACTAGGACCAAAGGCGGAATGCTATGAAAGTGTTTTACATGTCGCCGGAGTCTGTCTGTTATTGTGTGATACGCAGGCAATCCGTTCGGGTCAAATCAGAATCGCTCCCAAATTCTACAGCACACTGACAGGGTTTGTCATCAAATGTCAATGAAAACAGAGCTCTAGTATGTGTTTGGAGTCAACCAATCCTCAAGACTGTATCACAGAAATGAGTGGCGACCAATGGCACTACTAGAGCAGCACCCAGCTGTCAACTCTAGAGAAATGGGGAAAGAAGAAAAAATACTGGATTCTGGCTGGCTGGAGCAACCAGCGGGTAAGACGGGCCAGACTAGACGATCGGCTCAAAATCATGTGCACCGGAAAACAGGTTTGATGTGTCACCCAACCACTTGACGTAACTTTTGGATTGCAGCAAAGAGAGAATCGTTTTGTCAGCTGAGATAAACGATGCAGATGACAAGTAAACGGAACAGAAAGATTGAACAGGAACGGTCATCCATAAACTGAGGACGCTTCTTGGTTTAGTTTTGATGAACAAAACTCAGTTAAATGAGGCGACGGCCTTGAAATATGCATGCGGCAGCTGTTTCGTTTGTGCCACTGCATCGACCTTCATACTTGCTAAGGGATTCTGCTAATATGGAGGATTCGCACTACCAAAATTCGAATCACCAATACGACCTCATCCAAAGCGTTGCTACGGTGGAAACTTCATAAATCAAGAGAGCACTGCACTAACGACATTATGAAATCCCACCATACGTTCCAAATGCTACATGTTACCACAAAGAGCGATAAAAATTTCGGCACTATCCACATCGGAAGCTGAGTAGGGAACAAGTTCCAAGTACATCAGCTGATCAGCTAATCTAATTTCGCACGATAAGACGGTGCCGACACATGGGAATAACTTGGGGACGAAAGTACACAAATCCCTAACCTTATGACGCATGTCAATTATCTACTTTCTCCAGTATTGTGGTGGGAGTGGGCAAAAGGGCGGTAGGCAAACTGGCCGATCGATCTGCTGGAACTCTTGGCAATCCAACAATGATCGTAAATTTCCTTCTTTCAGGGACTTCCTCTGCGTACAGTGACAGCTTTGCACTCTGGTTCTGCCTAATATTGTTGATTTATCCCCATTAGGTTAGTGCATAGGACGGAGGAAGAAAAATGCTTAGCATCTGTTCCACTTTATGGCGGAATGGAATTTCCTAATTCTGTACCGCTGCACACTTAAGCATGGCGGAGTTGGACCAGCGCTAGGAAATCGACCTGTGTGAACATGGACTCGGTGTAATGATCACACCAATCTACCAAAAAACAACTCTCCTGCATAGCTTGTCCGAACTGACCAGATCTCAGTTCCCACACTTGTTGGCGAGTTTTGCCTACTATAAATGACCATGCTTTTAGAGAACTCCGGGCGTCTACCTATTTCGGGATTGGTGAATACTTTTCGACTATGTTGCAATTTCTAGGCCGTTGATGGTGAACGACCAAAACTCACCGACAAGGTTCTGCCAGGTTTACCTTGCTTGGACTTTCACAGGTCATGCGAGTGCTAAATGAAGCACCCAGCAGCTTACTCCCCTTACTAGTAACTAATCATATTTAAATTGCACTCACCGATTCGACAATACGTCTCTGGTTGGAGATATCAACTTCTAAGTAACTATTCCCTCTGAAGTTATGCACCTATCTGAAAACACCCATTAAAAACTTGATAAGAAATAAAACACTCACTAAAACATCAAAAAACACATCTAACTTATGCGAGCAACAGGAAGCAAAGTTGACATTGGAATGTAGAAGCGCTTCGATTAGTCTTGCAATTAGTGTTGAGTATCATTCCATCTGCGGCCTAAAGATGCTGTTGGGCGCAAGAGTTGCTTGTAGAATAGGATAAACACGGGTAGTTCAGTTCAACCTTTTTGAAACTTCATTTCAGCTTGGTCTTAGTTTTAGACTGAGCATGAACCATCAGTTTGTGGCTGTGCACAACCACCAACCCACCGCTACTCACTACTACGTTCCACAACACAATAGCGACTGAAGAAGGCACCTCGATTGGTGAAACGTTTGCAATCAAATTCCCTAGTTCAGCGAACAAGCCAACGACCACCGCAAACAGCTGCTGTCAAGAAACGTTCATCACGATACTTTGTGCTTTATGTGAGAGAACGCCATTATTTACCTGTCTACAGGAAATGCATTACCCTAAGTTTTGTACCTTAAATAATCATTAAAAGACATCCGGCAACTCCATACAGTTATTTCTAATTTCTTCGTATGAAAAATCTGGTGTCTGATGGGTTTTTCTTTATCCCGTAACCTTTTTTCTATATCAGGCATCATCGTTGTCGGAATCGGTGCTAAACGGTCGACAAAATCAGCGCGGTTTGCTGAAACAGTCTCCCGATATATGCGTGGTTGCAATCTGATTCTGAACATATTGTTTTATCGCGCACCTCCCAGTCCTTCAGTTGCTCAACCTGTCAGGTAAGCGAGATGGGGAGAGCTCACTCCTTTTTATCTCATCCTTTTCATCTCTCATCTTTTCACCTCTCACTCAGTGAAGTGAATGTGATTGTTAAAACAAGCAGTGGGGTTGAATTTTGTGTAACATTTCAATCATGAAGTTTCAAGTTGTTGGGTATTCGGTGTGTTACACCCTTCTCTCTATTTTCGACCTACGTAGTCATTATGTTTCATTAGCTCAGCAATGGTGTAAAACAACTGGTATGCACTTGAAGAATAGTTGCATAGTTGAACAAACAAAGACCTTGCTGTGAATCCCACTCGATCACTTCTATACCTAGATGATGTCACGTCAATTAACGTGTACTCCGCACCTGATCCATATAACATGTCAAAGCTGGTCTCGTGTGCGCTTCAGTCGATTGCTGTAACGCAGCTTGCTGCACACTAATACGGTACGTACCTTCAGTCAAGTGAGCTGGACATGTTATTTCGGGACGTCAAGTGGTGGTTCACCGAACATGTTAGGTCGCATTAGGTTTATAAGTCGTGTACAGTTCAGTAAGGTCAAATAATTGAAACTTTTCCACTTAAAGGCGTGTGGCGCTGGAACACGTAGTGGTATCTGTCAGATCCTCACTTGAGCAAAATGATCTTCGCCAAAACATGCTGTGGAAAAATGCGGTCAGGTTTGTTGGCTTACGTAGGTTTGTCGGTGGCACTATCGTTCATCTCCGGACCCCAATTTCATCAAGCCCAATGAGCGGGTGAATACTGTTTCTTTCTATTTTTCTATATTTTAGCACACGCATTCTGTCTTCATTATTGTTTCTTAGTAAATCAACTACTGCTCCAGGTGCACTGGATTACAAGTAAAATGTGACCCGCAAAATTGAATTTGAGTTTTTCTGTCCTATACTGTATGGAAAACCGTGCTGCAATAGCTATAATGTGTTTGGCGACAGAAAGAATTCAGTTTAAGGCTCCAGTTAGAAAAGCGAATGTACGAAGCCTCAAGATTTGCGTACACAATCCCCGTCAGAATGGCCTGTCGCGTAGATACGCTTTAGCTGTGTTAGTGATCACATAAGGAGAAAATCAATGACACAAGCTATCCCGTGCGTTCATCCAACTATCATCTAACATGACGTATGCATGAAAAGCGTGACATTAAACAGCAGATGTTAAACTAAACTCTCAAACGTCGTCGATAATGACCTACAAAACGTCGAATTACTGCTCATCAGAGTTAAACTCTATACGACAAGCAATAACTTCAGTGACCACAGTGACAAAAACACACGAATCGGGAAGCGCTACCAAAACACAATCATCTACATAAGGCAGCCCAAACTATTTTTATCGGTGCACTAACTACCCTGGAACTGTTGTTTTCATTCCGTTGCAGCCACAGTACACCTGTAATAGAGATATTGTATCTCATAGTTCATGATGTTTCGAACGCTCGAATGATCAGAGAGTCTGACACTGTTTAAATACCTTACTTGAGATGCATATTTTCTTGTGGGTGAAATATGTAACAGTTGGTGCAGTAGGCGGTAGAACCTTCTGTTTTTGGGTGATACTGATAGAACCAATCATTCCTACACATGCTCCAGTAAACTCTAGCAATGCCGAGTTCTACCTCCGAGTTTAAAAGGTACAATAAGTCCATTCGTTCGTGGAGAAGTACCTCTAATACTGAAGTTCCACCTCAATGGAGCTGCACACATTCCCAGTAAGTCAACGAAAATTGAGTGAACGTTTGCAGTATTTTTAGGCAGTGTTTGAGAACGGTCACTCTGGATGGATAGATTACTCACTTTCCTCCTATATCAAGCCATGGCTCAACCTAATGCTGACTTATTCGAGTATTTGGTCGAAGATTTATTTCACGAATCTAGTCATTTGCTAGATATATGAAAATAGAACAACCCATCAATATTCATTCCACCTGCAACTGGCAGCTTGGATATCGCGGTAATTCAGTCCTGTTTCTCCAACCAGTGATTGTGGTTTTGAGTGTGTCGGTATTTTTTTCATGCCCAACTAGTTCGATGAGATGTTTCTTTCTTACTATCGAGCTATAAAAGTGTATAAGGAGTCGTCCGTGGCTCCGATCCTAGATGTTGTGAGAGAGCGTTCTTTATGCCACCTGGGCAGTCAAGACTAAGGGCAGTGCGCGAAGTCCATTCATCTAGAGGGGTTTATGCTAGCGTAGAAGCGTAGAAGCAGAGTACAACCGGTTACTATTGAACTGAAAAGCTGTAGGTGAATTTAGCCAGATGCATATGGTTCTTTTATGTTTGGAATCGCACAGATACTTTGAAGGAATCAAATCTGAGAGCTTCCGGATATGGTTTTTTGTGGCTGACCGTTCCAATTTCCGGGCTGAGGAGCAAGGTTTCAAACTTGTCACCAACGCAGTTTAGATCGTACGTACGTAGTAGACGCAACGTTAATCAACTACCTGCTGATGATGTCACCTAGATCGTTAAGGAAATGTCTGAAACCAAAAGGCGCGGCTTACCGTGCAGAATAATCAGATCCACCACCATTTCCTTCATGGGATGAAGCATGTTTTTAACCAGAAGTCGAATGGTAAAACTTTTGGTTGTCAGGACCTGTATTCAAAGTTTATAACAACAGGTCTTGAAGGCACTGCTTGGAAGTCAACAAAAAATGATCAACTGATATATCTCAGGTAACCTCCAGTCTGAGAGGAGCAAAGGCAACGATGTTATCCAACTCGTTCATCTCAGAGTCTTGGATATAATTCACTGTTGTAAATTTCCACTAACCGATAAGATGTTTCAAACAACAAGCACTTTCTAACTGAAACTGACTTAGCTATCATCCCTTCGTTTCATCACAAATGAAGATCATTAGCTTCTGTCGACTCCATATGATAGGGAAGTTGCAGCTAGTAACTCCTTCATTTTCTTCAGTCCAAAACCATTATGGCTTTTTGAGCTCACTGACCATATATGGTAGTCGAACTGGAAAAAAACTGCTGCTGTCATACGTCTAAAACGCACTCAGTTGAATCTGAATTCATATTATCTCGTTGAATTGGTAAATGATTAGGAACACCCTCGTAAGTGTGAATAAATCCAGGACATATCAGCTTGCAACACCTTGCCACGTGTAAGTGGATAAATGAGATACTGCAGCGCATAGCACTCATCAAAATCTGGTTTTTGTTCCGTTCCACGAAACTGATCTAAAAAACGGGTAATCCTAATCTCATTCAGATTAGGATCCCATGGGACTGAATGTAAAAAGATCGGAATTTCCTTTCCCGAATACAACTGGATGGCTGCCTTAGGCGGAGAATGAAGAATTATCAATTTAAATAGCACGCAGACACTCACTCAAAAGCAACTTCCACCGGTCTCTAATTAAAATGGTTAGATCATATAATTAGAACTTACGGCTAGGTTACGATGATTTTTTCACTGCCGATTTCATTTTTTCGTCAATTTTTAGTCCATCACCACATGCCTTATTCCTCTGAATTCTGGCTTCGGTATATGGTGGTGTTGGAGTCACCGTGTTAAAAACTTGTTACGTTTCAAGCCAGTGATTTCTTTCTCTCCATTGTAACAAAGCAGAGAGAAGAAATATGTCGCGATACTCTAAAAATATCTCAACGGTCTTCAGTCGCTCATGCAAAACATGCAAAATCATTCAGAAAGACGTAGCGCCTGAACGACAGTTGTATAACGGACACTTATTGGCTCTGTACAGTCAGTCACATGACCTGTGTCATGTTAACCAAAGAAACTCTGAGTGAACAGCTTTTGCTAATGCAGGGCTAGTTGGTTAGCTATAACCCGTGCAGCTTCTGGACCTATCAGCATCTTAGGGTGCAATTTCCGCAATAAGAATTCAAAGTAAATTTTTGACCAGTGGCATCTGTTTGCGGCAAGTGAGTCGCTTGAAAGCGAAAAATTCACCTGTTCTGCCAGTCTGTGCTTCACTGAAAGTGCGCGTCACTTTGTGGATTACTTGGGAAACAGAGAGGGCGTGCGAAACATTTTCTCGTTTGTGAACTGGAAGTTCTTCGATGATGTGCACTGAACAAAACGCGATTTGGATCAGATTTCATTTTGCATTTGCGTTAAATAAGTACACTGTTACCCGTAGACTGTAAAAGAAGAATTATTCTCTCCTGATCTCTTTCCTTAACAGCGGTCAAAGCTGTTATGAACTGCTGTGACTATCACTGAAGCGGTCGAGGTAGCCGGTTGCCACCAAAACATGCCTTAGAAGCTCTATCTTGTGACTGTGTAAAAAAGGTCAGGGCAATACACAGCTGATTCAAAGCCGGAAGACTGCAAGTATTGACAGCATAAACTTTTAAAAAACACCGTAAATAAAGAGCTTAACTTCAAGCTTGCTGCTGCTTGCTTTCAGCAACGTGGTGTGAAGGCTAAATTCAGTCAACACTCCTGGACCTCAAGACAGTTAAAACTTTCACAATTTAGCTGTTTGTCTCGTGGACATACCCATATAGCTGGCTTAAGCTGTATAATTTAAATAATGTTGCTTAGGTAGCACCGGAATTGCTTGGAAAGAAATTTTGGAAATCTCCCAGTGACGCACAACATACTTTGACTGCCTACGTGTATTGCAGGTTTTGTATATGATGCACGTAGGTCGCACTCGTTTCTGCACCGTCCCCCATTTTTAACACCACTTTCTTCCACTTGGCCTCCAATAAGTAACTAACACTTGGCTGCAGCTTCGCTTTTATTACAACGAATCAATAATATATGGAGCACTGGCCAGCTAACGAACCACACAAGTACTTATGACCTGCGCTATCTGGAGGTATCTGAAGTTTTTATAGCCTGTCAGGTAAGTAGGTTCATCCATGAATGCTATCTATGGTTTATGCGGCAACTCAGGCAACGCTCTGTCACTTACTTACTTACTACTTATTTCGATCGAGGACTCGTCTTTTCGTAATTCCTGGCCAGGTGAAAGTACTTCGATAGGATGATGCAGACTTACCA